TTATTCCACCTTTCCACAAATTTTCTGAAATACCCTTCTATTATCGCTAGGGTGAGCTTCATTTTTCAAAACATTTTCAGTAGCTCCATTTAGATATAACTTGTGAACTTTATAGGACAGGTAAGATAATGCATAGCAAAAAAAAAAAAGACTCCAAAATCTGGGGTTGGGCATCAGACACAGCAGTTAAAGACACTGTTTGCGATGCCCTCACCCCATACTGCAATTCATGGGTTTGAGTCCTGGCTTTGCTCCTGACCCCAGCTTCCTGCTAACCCAAGAAGGCTGCAGGTGATTGCTCAAGGAGTGGACCCCCTGCTTCTCATGCAGGAAACCTGGTCTGAGGTCCTGACTCCAAACTTTGACCTTGGCTGTTGTAATTGTTTGATTGAACCTGCAGGTGGCTCCTCTCAGTCCCTCTCCCTTCCTGTCAAGTAAAAATGTGATATTTACAAAGACCAAGACTTGGACCTCAATTCAAATGACAGCCACACTGTCCCCTCTGGGGCTCAGTGATCGCATCTGTGCAATGGGAATTGTGGCACCTGTTGCACCAGGCTGTGAAGATTAAACGTGCACTGTATCCATGTAACACATGAACTGATCAGAAAACGCTTGTCTGACAAAACAGAGAGCAGCAAGTCCCAGGAAAGCACCTACTAACTGTCCCAAGGACCATGACGGTGTTTGGTAAAGGATGCAGCACTCGCATTAGAGTCACATTACACGGGCAAAGGTCAGCCCCTCCTTCAGCTAAGAAGGAAGTGGCTTTCCTTCTCCAAGCCCAACTTCAGTCTTAGTCTTACACCTGCCGAGGCCACAGCCTGGAGCTGTAGACCCACGAACATCGCTAAGCCAGAAGTTCAGATGCCCCGTGGCAGGCGGAGGAAGGCTCAGAGGCTGAAACCAACTAGCTGCCACCTGCCTGAAGCAGGAGAAACAGCTGCCAGCTTGGAGCCCAGGTAATCCCAGGAGGCAGCAGTCCTCCGTCTTACCTGCCTCATGGCTGCCTCACAGCTGCCTCCCTCAGGGCATAGACAGCTAGGTGTGCTGAGAGGACCCTCGTCCTGGGAGTCCTGGGATGCCAGAAGACCCTGAGAACCTGGCTTTAGAGGTTTCCAAGAAACAGAAAGTTCTTTGGTTTCTCTTTCATTTCTCTCTGGCTGTGCAGAGCCTGGGCTCACTCAGCTGAGAATGTACATCGGGGTGATTTGCTCTCCATGTTACACTGTTGTCTGTCCTTGGGTGTATGCCAAGGTGTGTGCCGACCTGGGAGTGAGGTTTCCCTGGCTCAGCTGGAGAACCAGAAGATGCCGACTTCCTCCTCAGAGCAGGGATTGTGGCCAAGGTCAGGAGCCTTCAGGTTGGAGCCCGAGGCCCCATCACCTCATGGGAACTTGGGTCCCCCCCCCCTGCAGAGGGAAAAGCGTCCCTGAGTATAGGCCCAGGTGACGTTGGGGGCCCTTCTCTCTGCCATCTAGAAAGTTCCCTCCTGTCCACCATGAGCACCTTTGTCTGTTGTGTGCTGAATATGAGTTCAGGCTTTGTATCTGCACTTCAATTGCTACTGTGGGACATCAATAAGACATTGGTCCTACTGCTCATTTCACCTTGACAATGAAAGGACATGTGGTGCTTACAGGTAACAGGGCAGAAAGAACAGAGATGCTGAGAGACCTGGCATGAGGGGAGGCCAAGGGCAAGCAACTGAGAATGGCAACAGTGGGCAAAGTGACTAAAGATGAGGCTTGTGGCCACCAGGCCACATGGTGCTTCTGCTCGAGTTGAGGAGCCTGAATTACAAGTTGCACATGTTGTGACTGCTTGTTCCTAGCACACGGAAGGCAGCTCTCTTACTGGGCCTGTGGCCAAGGAGTTCTCCACACCCCTTGTTTCTGGCACAAGAACAAGCACCTGCTCCAACAGCCTCTCTGGCCAGGAACAAACGAAGCCACTCTATTGCTTCCGCTGTGTGCAACTCCTTTATCTGCCATGGGAAGGGAAGAAAAATCACACCCTGTGAATGAAGTCAGAGTCAAAAGCAGCTCAGATTGGCCTTGGTCATGACTAGTACAGTGCCACTCCCTGTAGTGACCCTTCTTGGGGGAACACTCTGTGCACAGCCAAGCAGCCTTCCCTGGGAGGATGGGAGCCCTTGGGAAAGGGAAAAGAGATTAACAAAAGCAGCTCTCAAAGTTGACCTGAGGGAGTGAGGTATAGGTAAAGAAATGCTGGGGAGACATAGAGCAGTGGAGCACAGGGATATGGCATGGAGACTCAAGGTGGCAGACCATAGGGACATACTGCAGAGACCCAAGGCAGTGAGTCACGGAGCTAGAGGATGGAGATGTGGGGTGGTGGGCACACTGAGACGGTACAGACATTCAGGTTAGTAGGGCTGGGTTTGGGTCCACCAAGTCACAGAGATAAGGCTCACAGCTGACACCTGCCTTCCAGTGCTCTGGGAATCCCACACAAGTTTGTTTTGTTTTGAGGATGTGTGTTTATTTATGAAACAGAGAGGGATAGAAAGAGACCTTCCATTGGTTCATTCCCCTAAATGGCCATTGGTTCATTCCCCTAAATGACCACAACAGCCAGGACTGGGCCAGAGCGAAACCAGGATCCGAGAACTTCAACATTAGCAGGGAGCTGGAATCAGAAGCAGAATAACAACCAAAATCCTACATGGGATGCTGGCATCCCAAGCCACATCCTAACTGTTCTGCCTGACTCCTGACCCTGGATGTCCTGTATTTTATCTGACGGCCTTTTAATTGTCATTCATTAACTCCTTTATCCAACACTTACTAAGTACTTCCCATGTGTCAGGTGTTATTCTAGGTACTAGGAAAGCCCTTCAGAGTTCCAGTCTTCATATCCTATAGTAGGTACACATTTCTCCATGCTCAGCCTACACTGCATTCTTACAAGTACATACTTTTTAACAATAATATGTGGCCACACTTAACAGTATTATCAATATTTCCCCAATATATAAGACAAGCACCATATTCAGACCTTGCCTATTATCTCAAAAACACCTGCAACTTGTAGCACAAGCACATGTGAAACAGGATCTAAGGAAGGTCACTCAGAATATTCATCTGACTCAAGCGTACTCCAGAAAGTTTCATGAAAAAAAAAAAATGGGATGAAAAGATACATTCCTCTGGGTCTGAGAACATTTTGATATCCATGCAGATATTTTTCACAATGCACATTTTTCATGAATTTTTTGAAGATCCTCTTATGCACAGATTTTGAAAACTTTTTGAATTCATCCAAATAAAATTAACCGCTTGTTTTCGAAATACAGTATTTTGGAGACAAAGAACAAGAAAGAGAAAGAGCTTTCATCTACTGGTATACTCAAATGTTCAAAACAGTTATGGCTTGGCCAATGCAAGGACTAAAGCCAGGAACTCAGTCTAGGTCTTCCATATGAGTGACAGAAACCCAACCACGTGAACCATCACCTGCTACCTTTAGGGAATCGTTCACAGGAAGCTGGAGTCAGGAGCTGGAGCCAGGCATTGTGTCCATGTAACCCAAAGTGAGGTGTAGGGTATCATAAACATTGAACATTTGCCCTCTAAAACTTAATGTTTATGTCCATGAACTTTTTATGGTATTTTTCATATGTTTCTAGACTCTTAGTCTGAACACTTGTTCTCTGTTTTTGTTGTTTTCTGGTCAGAGACTCATGTGTTTGTCTGACAGAAGTTACTGCATACTCGATTTGGATCATGACTTCCTGTGGTCATTAGCTTATACCTTGTGTTCTCTGTTCATGGATACTTAATCTGGAGGCTGGACCTGAATCAGAACCAGGGTAACTGAACCCAGAGGCACCTAATATGGCACCACCTTTCACTAGTGAACGTTGTTCACTAGGTTCTTTTGGTCTGACCCAAATGATGTGCCCTCATGCTGCATATCATTATGGGATCATTGGACTGCTGGGTGGGGTCTGCACTGGAGGAAGGGCAGCAGGGGATCTTACAGTGGTCCAAGCAAGAGACAGCAAAGTGGAATTGGGATGTGTGTAAGGACACATGATATATGCCAGTGGCAGAACAAATAGGATGGGGCTGTGGGCTGGGTGAGAGTGGGAAGGATTTGGCAATGCAGCAGAATGCATGGGAGTAGAGGCAGGGTGAGACAGGACAGAGAGGAGACACACACACACACTTAAGCAGGGAGGGGTATATCTTCTGCAATGTTGTCAGGTGACTTGACAGTCAAAGGTTTCCAAACTGTAAGCCTGGGAAGAGTGGAGGTAAGAAAGAGTATCTTTGTGTGAGAATAATACAGGAACATGAGGAAATGGAAAAGCATGGTTGGCCTAAGCCCCATTCAAACCATTCTCCCTCAAGCATCTGAGTGTAGGTGAAGCAGTACAGTGGGCTTGGGACCTGGGTAACAGCACCTCTGTGCGTGTGGTAAGTGGGTTGGGCTTCAAGCTCTACCCTGGGCTGCACTAGGGAATGCATTTCTGTCCCCTCTGTCATCACCTGATACTGTGACACAGTCCCATAGGTGCCCAGCCTCATTTCCTGCAGAACTCATCTAACCAGGGCCACTGCTTTCTCAGGGCGTGATCAAGGATCCATCCCCAAGACCAACAGTTCCACACTGGCTGCATGAGCCCCTTCTACACAAAGGAGGGAAAATCATGCTGGAGATAGGAAGCATGCAGTGGTTTTAGGCTCTATCCCTCCATCAGAAAACAGAACCAGAAGACACGACCCACAGATCTCCTCAGCCTAACTTTGTCAAATCCAGGGCCAGGAAACATGGTCAAGTTGGAAGGTGAACCCACATTGCCACTGGTGCTGCAGACAGCCAGTCCAGCTTGCCTTAATATAGCACACTGCCCAGCCCAAGCAGTCGGTGCTCAATATATGCATGTTGAGGTCTCACCCCTGTTTCTCCTAACCTACACACAACCAATGGCCTATGCACAGAAGGACATGATGTGGACTTTGTTATTACAGGTCCAACATGTACAGCACCAGTGCAAGTGACCTAGAAGAAATTCCCCTGGAAGATGATGATCTAAACAGTCTCGAATTCAAAATCCTGGCATTCTACGTCAGACATCATGCCTTCAAGAAAACCCCTGCCGCCTTCTCACCCGAGCTCCTGCGAACAGGAAGCGTGTCTCAGAGGGGACTGGAGAGCTTGTCAGCAAATGAGTCCCTGACACAGGTGCCCTGGATCAGCAGAAACTCCCGATCCAGTGAGAAATTCATTACCTCTGGCAAGAAAAAGTCATCATGGAGAGCAATCTTGGGAGTATTGGGGAAGGAGGAAGATGAGCAGGACTCGTCCCCAGTGTTGCAAAGCAGTGGTATTGCTGTTACAAAGGGAATCTCCTCTATCTCCACTGTGGATGCAGAAACTGAAGGTAGGTATTGGGGTGCACACCCTCTCATGCCAAGTCTTCCCTTCTTGGTGCGCACAGCAGTTCCCAAAGACAGGCTTAGACAGGGCTCACAGTGCCTCCACTTTCCACCTTATTAGCACTCATAGAAACTGTCCCACTCTCTCCAAATCTGAGCAGAAACAAAGACGCTGGCAGTGAAGGCTGACAGATAAGCTTGCAGGCCAAATCCCTATTTCTCTATGCCAGAGGCCTGTGTTAAGGAGACAGTCTAAAAAATAGCCTCAGGCTGTCTGCTTCTCTCTGCTTTTCTCTCTCTCTCTCAAAAATTTATTTACTTCTTTGGGCCTGGCATGGTGGCATAGTGGCAAAAGTCCTCACCTTGAATGTGCTAGGATACCATATGGGCACCAGTTCTAATCCCAGCAGCTCCACTTCCCATCCAGCTCCCTGCTTGTGGCCTGGGAAAACAGTCAAGGACGGCCCAAAGCCTTGAGACCCTGTACCCATGTGGGAGACCTGGTGGAAAGTTCTTTGCTCCTGGCTTTGGATTGGTGCAGCACCAGCCATTGTGCTCACTTGCAGAGTGAATTAGCGGACAAATCTTCCTCTCTGTCTCTCCTCCTCTCTGTATATCTGACTTTACAATTTAAAAAAATCTTTAAAGATTTTTATTTAATTCTCTGAAGGGAACAAAAAGATCTGATATCTATTGGTTCACTCCCTAAATGGCCACATGGCTGTAACTGGTCCAGGCCAAAGCCAGGAGCTTGGAGCTTCATCCAGGTCTCCAAGGTGGGTGACCGAGGACCATACACTTAGACTATCTTCTGCTGCTTTCCCAGGGACATTAGCAGGGAGCTGGATTGTTGATGCAGCAACTAAGACTTGAACTGGCAATCACCCAGGATACAGTACACTGGCCTGTACCCATATTCTTCTTTTAAGATTTATTTATTTTTATTGCAAAGTCAGGCACACAGAGAGGAGAAGAGACAGAGAGGAAGATCCTCCGTCTGATGACCCACTTCTCAAATGACCTCAATAGTCAGTGATGTGCCAATCTGAAGCCAGGAGCCAGGAACCTGCTCCCAGTCTCCCTCATCAGTGCAGGATCCCAAGGCCTTGGGCTTTTCTCAACTGCTTCCCCGGGCCACGAGCAGGGAGCTGGATGGGAAGCGGGGCTTCAGGGACAAGAAACGGCGCCCATATGGGACCCCAGTGCGTGCAAGGCAATGCCTTTAGCTGCTATGTCACCACACCAGGCTCTGTACCCTTATTCTTAAGTTGGGTCCTTCTCAGTGCACTGGGGTTTTCCATGCTCCCTTCCTGTTAGGGTAAATGAAAAAATTCAAAACATAAACCACTTCCCCTCCAAAAAGAGAAAAGACACATTTTGAATCACTTGTATTGAATGACAGGTGTCCACAAAATGCTCTGCATAGAGTTGTCCCTTGCACCCAAACGTTAATACAAGCATCTTTTTCCTCTTCAATGGCACCCAGAGCTCAAACCCAGATTTTAAAGCAAGTCCCTACCCCTTGTGCTGAGCTGGATGGGCCTAGGGAAGTTTTCAATAAGTAGTCAACAGGTGGCAGTAATGTTTCAAATTTTAAAAATCTTGCAACTGTCCAGGCTTTCACTTGGAGAATCACTTCCATTTCTTACCAGAACCACTAGAAACACAGAACAAAAAAGTATGGGCCAAGATTATCTGGGGGACCTTTTCCTGCAGACAGGATGAGAGGTCTTCCAAAAGTTCATGGAAAATATGCATTATGAAAAACGTATGTGGTGGATTTCAAAATCTCTTGTCAAAATAAATGCATCTTTTAATCCCAGTTTGCCCAGACTTCTTGAAGTGCCCTGGTATAAGGCAGTAAGGGTCCCAGCAAAGTGACTGGCTGGGAAGTGGCAGAACTGGGGACTAGCCCAGGGTGCTGGGTGAGGCTCTGCACTGTACCCTCTGTCCTTTAAGAACTGACACAGTAAGCCAAGGGCAAAAGGGCCTCTTTGCTTCTCCCTCCCGCCCCCACCCCATAACTATACATAACTGAATATACAAGGGAACTTCAAAATATTTATGGGAAAAATAGAACAAAAAGATAAGTTTATTTGATACAAAAACATTTTAAATCCATGCATATAAGCAATCTTTTAAAATTTGTGGGAAATATGTACTGTGAGTCAACTAAGCCTTGAATTTCTTTTGATTTCATCTTCCATAAACTTTTCTTAAAAGATGTATTTATTTGAAAGGCAGAGTGACAGAGAGAGGGAGAGACCAAGATTTTCCATTCACTGATTCACTCCCTACCAAAGCCAGGAGCCTAGAACTGCTTTATAAGTCTCAGAGGCCCAAATACTCAGACCATCTTCCACTGCTTTCCCAGGCATATTAGCAGGGAACTGGATCAGAAGCCAAGGAGCCAGAATTCAAACCAGTGCTCTGATATGGCATACTGGCATGGCAGGTGCTAGCTTTACTCACTATGCTACAGTAACACCCCACAAAAGCATACTTACTTCTTCCATAAAAGAAGACCAGTGTGTGGTAGCCCAGGCCTGAATGGCAGCTCCATAGCATCATTAGAGATTGCCAGGGACATCGCCATTTCTCAGCTAGTGATTTCCAATACTTAAGTCACCTGAAATTCTAACGTGGCTATTGGGAATCTAGCCACCATGTCTACATTTTAAGTAGCAAGCAAAAGCAAGCAATGGCATCTTCTAGAAATATCTGGATAATTTAGCTCCTTTTTAGAGAGCTTTTCTTGAAACTGCTCCCAAATTCTCCTTCCATCTCATTGGCCACTCAAGCAAAACTAAGAAATGTCTCTCACATTTTAGGGGTTTGTTACTAAGGGGAATGAAGACAATGGGTTCTGAACAGGAAACAGATTTACCATGTGGAAATCACTCCCACATCCCCTGCTCTTCTCTTTCAAGCAAATGTCTCAGTCCTTGTGCTGAACAGCACCTTGCTAGCCATAGTCTTTTCTCTTTGGTCCCATAATAACCTTGTAATAGACCGTGAAGGTTACTCAGCTTCCCAGTCCTCCCCTTAACCTCCAGCCACTTTTCCCTTGCCTAACTGATTCCAAGTGGACTCTTCCCTAAAGTTAGTTCATTGAAATCAAAACATAATTCATCTTGCACACATATCATTTACTTTCTTTGTTCCTGCAAAAATCAATGCACTATGCAAAGGTCCATTAGACTTGTTACTTCTGTGCCTGCTGGCAGTCTTGTGCTAGCCCTGCTATAATGTGGTGTGGGATATGTGGTGGGGTGAGATGGGACAGCTTTTGCAGGCTCTCTTTTGGTTCCCTTGGTGTGCAAGGTAGACACAGGGTGACTTCCAGTGGGAGAACCACATGTGTATCACACTAGTCAGTGCACATGGTCTGTGGAAGTAGCAGGTGTAAGTGTACCCTCCCTGTCTTCTGAGGACACTGCAAAGGAAAGTAGCATGTGGTTTTGGAGTCAGTGCCTTGGCATTTCATTCCCAAAGGTCATGGGTGACCAGTACTCAAAGGGAAGCTGGTCAGCCTGAAATGACACGATCTTCAAGTGGAAAAATACTCAGTATGGTTGTTAAAATGAGAAGAAAGACATTGGCCCTTTTCTTGACCTTTGCCTCACTGCTTATCTGCTGTGGAATCCTATGAACTAAGTAGAACACAATAGGGCTTTCTAAGACCTACATTCACCCAATGCAGGTGTGAAGGGCAGAGCATTGTCTCTCCTAGCTGTAAGTCGGTAAATGATGAGAGGAGGGCACTGAAGCCTTCACGACATGCAGAAATTGTAGGGGCTGAGGACCAAAAGACACCCTGGCAGTTCTATGTGATTCCAACACCTATTTCCCATGGGACAGTGTCCCTTCCAGAACTCAGCCATGCCTGTTTACCAGGATGATTTACAAAGCCCAGAATTCCCCACTGAGTGCACCAACCTTTCAGCCAGAACCCCACTCTAGCACTTTCTTCAATGATTGCCCATCCTTTCTGTGATACCACTCAGGCGCTCTGGGAAACATCCATGGTAGAACCTGCACCTGCTTCTTAGCAGTTAAGAACTTAGGAACAAATCAACAATGAAAACTTTACTGCCCAACAATACAAATGCCTGCCCGTCCACCACACCCCATCTCCAAACCAAGGCCAAAGCTGACGTGGTTTTTTATAGCTAATTACATTCAAGGGGCCATTCCTTTTTAAACCTTCCTGACTCAAAATGCTTTATACACAAACCAATATGAAAGCACAAAGGGCCTTCAAAAAGCTTCGTGGAAAACGCACACTATGAACACATGGTGCAAAATCTATTTTATTTTTTGCTATTTATCTGAGCCAGCAACAGATACATACAGGGTGGGAGAGAAAAAAAATGAATAAATGAACTCTCATCTATCAGTTCACTCTCCAAATGCCTCTAGCACTACCAGATTCCAGAGGCCAAAGCCAGGAGCCTGCATCTAGATCTCTCATGCGAATGGCAGGGACCTAATCACTTGCACATCACTGCTATCTCCCAGGGTGAGCATTACCAGGAAGCTAGAATCCAGAGCCAGAACTCCAACCTGGGCACTTCAGTGCAAATGTGCATGTCTGAACCACCTGGGTAGATGCCCACACTCTCAACTGTATGTTGATTTCATTTTCCATGAATTTGTTGAAGTATTCATGTACATAACTGTTTTTGCAGGATTAGAAATTCTTGAAGAACAGGTTGAATCCGATGAATTCTTGCTCTGCTACAAGTATAACTGATTGTTTTCCATTAGACATAGTGGAGACAAAACATGCAAGATTATGAGCAAGGAATATTAGATATCTATTTGATATTGGAATTGAGTGGCAGGGACTATCACACAGCAAACACATTTCTCTTTGCTCAATGACAACCTCCAAATGTTTGTCAAACTACTGAATGTCTCCTATCCACCTAGGGCATAGAGGCCAGATCTCCAAGGTATGAAGGATGTTAAAAGAGAAAGAGAGACACAGAGAGAGAGAGACAATAAAAATGAAAGCATAATGAGCATTCCCTCAAGTCCTCCATTTTGTGTTTCCTCCTTAGGGGGCCCTAATTTTGCAGGACTCCCAAACTCAGGTACAGAAGGGCAGTTGATTCAAGGTGACAATCATTCCTCTGTGTCCTCCTGCATCCTGGCTCCCTCCCCCAGATGCACATCCCTGGGCAAGTTCCTGTCATTCAGGGTTGGACTTTTCATTCCAAGCAACTATGCATTCCCAAGAGTCACACACAGCTCTTCTGGGAAGGGTTGTTCTCTCAGCACTGCTTTGTTTTGTTTCAGTTGTGGACCCCAAAGTTTCTTCCATTGCCAATCGAGTTGCTGAAATTGTGTACTCCTGGCCACCACCAGAAGTGCATCTCCAAGGACCAAGCTCCGGTGCCAGTATCACAAAACAGCCTCTCCATATCCATTTGCAAGGCGGTGGGCCAAAAGCTTCAAGTTCTAAGAAAGGTACATCTCCTTTCCGAGTGTCTGCATGGGGTTGCCGGGTAGAGGTGTACACACATTTTTGTATTTATTTAGCTCAGAAGTCAGCAGCTTGGGAGTCTGTGACAACAGGATCTAAGGGCAGGACAGCAACATATACCATCAGGCTGAAGAGACATGGCAAGATCATTGCTGTATCACAAGAAAAGTCTACCCAGTGAGAGAGGGAAACTCAAAGTTTACTTTCAACCTTGACTACAGTGGGAAGTACAGTCTTAGATTTGATTGTGTCACTAGTAGTTCCAGGCCAGATTGCTTTGTACAGAGTTGGAGCACGCAGGAACCCAGGAGTTTATATGGTTTTGGGCTCTTGTAAGAAGCTGAGGACTGTCACATACTAGGTCTGCTACAGAACGGAGATGTAATGACCAGACTGAGCCAGCTGTCACCAAAACCAAAGTAGTAACAGAGTGTGTCGATTCCACAATGCTACAGGAACAGTGGACTCTGAAGGGACAGTTGAAGAGAATAGAACTAAGTGCCCCCAGAGAAGGAGGGAAGCCGCTCAAGCCTAGCTTCACCAGTGACACACTCTCTCTTCCCAAATCCTAATGAAGGATGCAAGACAGAAGCTGCTGGATTTTTAGCTCCCAAAAGCACAAGGCAAAAGTTCCCCCTGCAAAGATACTGGTAGTTCCAATGCCTGAAATAGGGTCTGGTTTTGTCCGTCCCTGACTATAGAGAAGGGGCCACAAATGGCCACAGGGACATCAGGAAGAAGGAGCTATATGAGAGGAAGAATCCTCTGAGTCTGCTCAAAAGAAAGGACTGACACTTTATGGCTAGCCCCAGTGTGTCCAGGAGATGGAACATAACATGGTAAGCCAAGCTAAGGCCCCTACCTTCCATGCATGGGAGACATTAAGACCTCAACTTTCCCAAAGGGCAGCAGCTTCTGATAAAAACAAAAACTATACCAGTACCTGGAGCCCCAGTTTCCTCACCTTTTGGGGACATATTGCATCTTATCTGGGACAAGTCTGAGGGCTCCATGGATCCAAAGACTGGCAGAAGTAAGAGACAACATTCTCTCAGTAACTGGCTTTTCTCTAGGATCTGTCCTATAGCAATGACCATTTCTGTCATGTGTTATTTTATAATTATCCATTTTTATTTATTTGAGAGGCAGGGAGAGAAGGAATGCTCTCATCTATTGGTTTATTCTCAAAATGCTGGTAACAGCCAGGGTTGGACCAGGATGAAGGCAGGAGCCAGAAACTCAATTCTGGTCTCCTATGTGCTTGGCAGGAACTCTGTTACTTGAGCCATCACCTGCTGTATTGGCAGGAATTTGAAGTCAGAAGCCAGAAACTGGGCCAGGAAGCCAGGTACTCTGCTTTGGGATGCACACAACCTCACTGCTAGGCCAAACACCTGTCTCAGCTGTTAACAAGTTTTGAGACAAGAAAAATCATACTCTAACTCACGTGTTCCAACACACACCTAACACACTGCTGCTGTTTGCCGGCCTGCTGTCTACCCGCCGTTTTAACCTCAGGGGTGGAGAACTATATTAGCTAATTTATATCCCACTTTCTGATCAAGGACATGGCATGCAAAGAACACATTTTCATCAGATAAAATAAAACTGAATTTGAAAGATAATATAAAAAACAGACACATGAAAATAAGTTGAGTTTAGGAAAGAAGCTGATACCCAAGATGTGGCCTAGAGACAATATTCATCCTCTTAAATTCCTAGCCTTCCACTCAGCTCAAAGCTCCCAGCAGCTAGCACAAAGGGGCCAAGAGAATGCAACGTGATGTCAGAAGTGTAAAGCCTAGAGGGAAATTTCTCCCATATTCATACATGATAGCAGGCAGAGCAGAAATGGATGATACTATGATGGAGGAAACATAACTAGGAGGTGATGGGAAGTCCTTGGGTGTTTGGGGCCTTCAACAACATTCTTATATCAAAAAATACGATGAGTTTCACAGTGAAAACTGCAGGGGGAGAAGGTGACGTATAAACTGAAGAAGAGGAAAAAGAGAAATGCGGGCAAAGCAGGGAGTCTGAAACGACTTTCTCTGACCAGCAGAGCTGAAGGTTTGTTTGCTAAGAATTAGAAAGCATGTCTCTTCTTTAATCCCTCATTAAGCCACAAGCATTACCACTGGAAAATTAGTCAACAGTATTCAGCAAATAACTAGAATTTCTTCCTGCAGATGAAGAGGACGAAATAATAGCCAGAATTGTGGAGCTACTGAAGTGTTCAGGAGATCAGTTGGATAAAGAGGTATGGAGGCATTGCACCAATACTGTGCTCTCTTCCTGTGCCCATGCAATAGTGCATGAGAAAGCAATAGGGCTGCAGGTTGTCACCTTACTCTGTTTCCAAAGCTCTGGTTTCCACTGAGTCCTAAGTTTTATTTCCCTTGGACTCTAAATTCTTCCCACTGGCAGCATCTCAAAAAATGAATCGCTTTTGGAAAGCATCAGTAACCCTTCTGGAGCCTTCCTGGAATTTCTGGAAACTAACAAAGTCACTTTATTATTGCAAGGAATGATGCCAGTAAATTAAAGCTTGCTGAACAGAATTGCTAATCTCACTCCCTGTGGAACAGATCCACAGCAAAGTTTAGACTCTTGCATTGGCTCTGCTGCCTGGATTTCTGCGATGCATAGTTGCCAGAGGCCAGAGTCCTTTATGAAATCTTCTCTCCCTCGCCTGGAGTTGCCAGACTCTGCTCAAGGTGTGTTTGAGCAGTTTGGCCAAGGAGGCAGGTTTGTGTTATTTGGGAAGACTTGTGGACTTCCTGCCATTTTCAGGTTGAGATCCATCCTTCTAATCGGGAGTCTGTACAAAATGTTGCCTGCAGGTAGAGCTGATGAGCAAGCACATGGTGTAGTCGGAGGAGCTTCTCTTCTGAACACGGTTCTCTCCTATATCCCTTGCTCACAGACCACCGAGTCATCTTGAGGAACACACCCATCAGGGTCTGGCTTAGGGAGCCTTGTCCTTTGTTTTTGCCAGTGGCCACAAGAAGGGAGTCAGGCCCCTAGAGTCTGTACAGAAGCTGGGCAGCCACTCTGTCCTGGCACAGTGTGCTCATAGCTGCTCTTGACAACTTTGGCAGGAGTGTGCTCGGAGTCATTAGAAGGGCGGAGGGCCTGAGAAACGGCACAGAAGGGAAATGGTGTGAAAACCAGGGGTATTAGAGGCTAAAGACAGAAAAAGGCAGCACATGAGTTGGGAGCTGTAGGTGGAGGGTGGAGAGGATGCAGAGCAAGCAGAAAACAGCACAAGGCACATGAAGACGACCTAAGGAACACCTGCCTGATCCCAGAACCAGCACCATGGCAGTTGTGGGGCAGTCAATTTCTTCCTCCACGTTCTGTTTGACAGCATCCAACTGAAGAAACATGGCTCCAAGCCTGAGTGGGGGCCTGGAAGTCTAGATGCTGCCAGAATAGTAGAAGGATCAAACACTAGTGGTAGGTATCATGCACAATAGGTGAGACACTGCTTAGGCTGTATTGGAGTGCCTGGGTTTGAGTTCTAGCTCTGCTCCAAATCCCTACTTCCTGTTCATGTGCTCCATAGCAGAGATGGTTCAAGTATTTGGGTCCCGGACACACAGTAAGGGTGACCTTGTACTGTGTGGATGTTGAGTCCCACCCCCTCACTTCACAAATACTGGGAGAAGCAATGCTGAGAGGGCTGGGCCACAGCTAGGGAGCACTACAAAGCCACCCACCGCCAAGAGTACACAGAGGCCAGGCCTGCACCTGCCAGAGAGGCCAAAGTGCAGGTTCAACTACAAGGCAAGTTGGCCAGGTGTTCTGTGCAAGGTGTTTCTGCTGGCATTTATTTATTTTTTTTTTACTATCATTACCAATTTATTTTCATTTATTTGAAATGCAGAGACAGAGACCCCAGACAGAGACAGAGAGATCTCTCTGACTGTGGAGGAAGCTGGTCATTCCTGCTTCAAATCTGTAAACCACTGAGGATCCCTGTCTCCCAAAGCGCGCGAGTGGCTGTGGTTCAGACAGAGGACACAGTTCCACATAGCATCTGACTAATCTTCCAAACATTCCTCTTAGAAACAGTACTAGTTTAATAGCTGCTTAACTTATAGCTCCTCATGGATGAAAATAGAGGATCACCTTTTTTTCCTTTTTGTTTATTTGAAAGTCAATTGCAGAACCTGGCATGATGGCTCAATTGCCTAAGCCCCTACCTCCTAGCACCGTGATCCCATATGGGTGCTGGTTTGTCTCCCAACTACTCCACTTCCCATCCAGCTCCCTGCTTGTGGCCGGCCTGTGGAGGATGGCCCAAAGCCTTGGGACTCTGCACCTACATGGAGCCCTGGGAGACGCTCCTGGCTTTGGATTGGCTCAGCTCTGGCCATTGCAGCCATTTGGGAAGTGAACTAGCAGATGGAAAAACTTTCTCTGTCTCTTCTTCTCTCTGTAAACTCTTCCTTTCCAATAAAACAAATAAATCTTAAATATCTATCTATCTATCTATCTATCTAGATATATATAGAGAGAGAAAGAGAGAGCGAGGGAAAGGGAAAGGGAGATAGTGATTCACTCCCCAGGTGGCTGGAGCTTCATCTGAGTCTCCCACAGGCATGGCGGGGAGTGGAGCTTCAGCTGAGTCTCCCACAGGCATGGCGGGGAGTACTTGGGCCATCTTCCATAGTTTTTCCCCGGCTACAATACTATGTTACAATACTCACCCCAGAGAATTTTCAAGCCAAGTTTTAGATCTTGCCCACTAAAAACCTTCTGGTTTCACACAGCATCCATTATATTAACAGACATTTTAGGGACGGCTTTCCATGAGGACAGAATAAAAAGATAGAGCAGATCTGATAGGACTTTTTCAAGCCTTCTTATGTACTTTGCTGACATAAGGCCTGATATTTATAAGAAACAGAGGAACTATTTGGTTCTCTTAAAAGTAAAGCCTGGTAGTACAAAGCAGCTAAAGCAGAGAGATGCCAGAACTAAGGAAGAGCTTGGGAGTAAAATTGATTGGGCAGAAAAACGAGAAAGCAATCAATGGATTAAATCTTTTAAAAGGTGATTATATGCACTTCGGGGACTCTTTCTGACCTTCTCCACCCCATCCCATGCCCCCAGTGTTCTACAAAATGACTGCCATCTCCAGCGCCTCTCTTTCATGTCTAACTCAACAAGTACCATGATCATCCAAGTTTAGAAATGACAGAAATGAAGTGCAGAGGTTAGGTCATCTCCCCAAGAGTGCATGGCTATTAAGAAGGAAGACAAGGTTTGAACAGCTTAGATTCTGTTACACTGCCTAACCATGTGCACTCAGCATTATTCTACAACTCTCATTTGACTGGACGCCTTGTGGGTGAAGACCCAAGTATGAGCTATCTAAAGACCCTGTCCATTGCAAGAGCCCAGGAAACATTTGTCAGGGGTCGAGTCTCTCCAGTTGTGCCGCATCTTTATCCCAGTGAACTCACAGGGCAGGTACATGGCTCAGCCTGGTGCTGTAGACATCACTCTATGACTATGACTGGATTCCCAGGGTTTCCCACAGGTGCTTTAGTGGTCCATGCGTGAGCTGGAGAGTGGTCTTCATCTACCCCACAGGACCAAGCTATTCTTCTGAATGTTTTTCTACTTCTACACAGCTGAAGATGGACATGACTTTGAAGAGAAAATTGCCACAGGAACTGTCCTACTCTGATGTCAAGAAAATTACAGACCAGTTCCTCAAGGGTGTGGACACCAGAGGAGAATCAGAGGTGAAAGCTCAGGGCTTTAAGGCTGCACTTGCTATAGATGCCATAGCCAAGCTCACAGCTATTGATAATCACCCAATGAACAAGGTGCTGGGCTTTGGTGCCAAGTACCTAAAGGAGAACTTCTCACCCTGGATTCAACAGCATGGTGGATGGGTAAGTGTATCCTATTAAAAATGGAAGCAGGGGATGGGTATTTGGCACAGTGGTTAAGACACCTGCTTGGGAAACTCACATCCCATACTACAGTGCCCAGGTTCCAGTTCCTTCTCTGCTAACAACCTAGCTTCCTCCTAATGCACATCCTAAGCAACAGCCCATTTACTTGGGTTCCTGCCACTCACAGGAATATCAATACAGGGTTCTTGGCTCCTAGTTTCAGTATGGCATAGCCTCAATGTTACAACCGTCCGGGAAGTGAATCAGCAGATGGAAGATCTCTCTCCCACTGTTTCTATGTGTCTGCCTTTCTAATAAGTGCAAATCCATTTTTTAAAAAAATTTAAAGAAAGCTTTTTAAAAAGAGTTAATAAAAACTAATCTTCTCAGAGCTTAAAGGAGAAGAAATGTGAAGATTTTAGTTTTCAAGGAAGGGAACGCATCTAGCAAGCCTTTCTCATGGGTTTAGGATACTTGAGTGGCAACAGACAGATCCTGTTGAGGGGGCCCTACTTTTAGTGATAATCCTTATCACCAATAAATATTTACTGAGCTCCCTGAGAGTATGTGGGGTATGTATGGGGCAGAAAGGAGGGAGATAACAGGAAGTGAGCAGATACTGGTATATGAAATGTTTACATGGATGTCATTTCTGTTTTCACACACTGTGCAGGCAGCGGAAGTCTGGTGATGAGACCGGCCTGACAGGCTGTTCCTCTCACTTGGAGACACTGATGGGGCGAGAGCCAGTCTCATGCTGAGATCTGCAGTCATGACATTTTGCCATTGCTGCTTTGACTCCTGCATTTGTCAGGGACAGGTTGCTACAAACTAAATAGCAAACAAACTTTCTTCTATCTTTAATGACTTAATATCAATCAAAACAGACCTTTCCCCTATATGTCAGCCTCAATTCCCTCCCTATCCTTTATCTCCAGTCCTGAAGATCTTACCATTGCTATGTTCACATTGCTGTTTTTGGTGGAGTTTGTCAAGACGTTCCACCCCAGTATGTATGTCTCAGTGGGCCTGGACAATTTCCAGAACAGGCTTTTGCTCCTCACTACTCCTAGTCCTCTTTCCTCTAGATGGTCCAGGAGCCAGTGCAGTACCATGACCCTGAGACCTTCCGACCAGCTCCATCTCTTGTCCATCAGAAGGGCAGCTGGTCCTAGGAGGTTATAGGGCCCACTGTGGCCCTCAGCGACCACCCATTCAGTTTGTCTTTTGTGTTTCCAGTTTCCTCTTTTTCACAATGTAGAACAACCCTTACACCAGGAAGGTCATCACTAAAAGGATAGTCTAAAAAGGAGACCTATTCCCCAACTTTAGTTCACTCCTACATTTTGTGCCAGAGCACCCTCACATCCCTCTTATGCCCCCAAGTTTTTCCTGACCACCAGTTCAAGGACTTTGTCGGTCTCCAGCCTTGCTCAATCCTTCATGTTTGTGCCATCATGATGCAAACATGGTCACATTCCCAATGGACTATGTCTCAAGGGTTTGTTTTTAAACCCATATTGATCCTGTTAACATATTTAGAGATTGCAGGCATCAACTGGGTTCATAAGCCAGCTCTCAAAAGTTTACTTAACCCAAAAATGTAGCTTAAATGCCAAAAAATCCTTCACAAGAAATGGCTGTACTCTGAAAGCACAAACAACAACAGAAAAAAAGAAAACTGAACTGTATTCTGTGCTTTCAAGACATCATTGTCAAGAAACAGAGGGTAAATTTTACAATATCTTTCAATAAATATTCTATAGCAAGTAATGTTTATAATTATAGTAATCAAGTAAAGAGGAAAGCAAAAATGAGTGCAAACATTTGTATTTATATTTAAAAGTTGGCTTCAGGTGCCAGAGAGAAAATCAGTTCCCGTTAAAATGTATAGATGAGTTCTTCAGTGTATTTGCTAAAGAGGATTTTCAAACTCTGGAGATAGCACTACTTCTACACAGCTGCAGTTACAGCCCACAGCTTGCCACTTATCTAGGTTGTTATAAAACTTCATCTTAACTCTTGGCCTTAGTTAGGATTGTGTACTTAATTATTTCATTTATTTATTTGTAAAGATTTATTTATGTATGAGAGAGAGAAAAAGAAAGAAAGAGAGAGAGATCTTCCATCCTCTGGTTCATTCACCAAATGACCACAACAGCAGGAATGGGTTAAGCTGAAGCCAGGATCCAGGAATTCCACCCGTGTCTTTCATGTGGGTGACTGGGGCCCAAGCACTTGGATCGCTTTCATTGTCTATGTGAGTAGCAGGAGGCTGGATAAGAAGCAGAGCAGTTGGGAGCTAGAACCATCACCCAAACATGGGAAGCTGGCATGCAAGCAGCAGCTTAACTCATTGCACCACAATACCAGCTTCCATAGTTCAGTTCCATGTAGAGCATATGAATAGAAATTAATGGGAATGTTAAGGACTTATATTTTTAAGTGACAGAAGAGTGTTGAGAAAATAAGCAATAATGATAAATATTGATAAAAGAATATTTATTTATAAATATTGATAAACAAATATTTCTGAGCAGGTAGAAGTGATAAAGAGCCATGAAATGTCAGGGAAATGTGGACTAAGAGCTATGCCCGGGTGCAGGTGTTTGCTGAAGATGCCATTGAAGACACTCATATCCCATGGTGCAGTTTGGGGGTTTGAGTCCTGACTCTACTTCCAATTCAAGCTTCTGCTAATGCATGCCTGGGGAGGCAGCAGGTGACAGCTCAACTACTTGAGTGGAGACCCAGACTGAGTTCCAGGCTCCTGGTTTTGGCCTGGCCCAACTTTGGCTACTGCACATGTTTTAATACAGCAAACTAGCTGATGGAAGATTGCATTCTGTATATGTGCGTTTCTACCTTTCAAATAAACCAATTTAAAAGATTTCAACCATATTATCAAATATGTAGAAAAGAATGATAACTCTGTCTTCCTAAACAGGACAGGGTAATAAGCCTCCAGGAACTTGCACAGCTCCCCATGGCATCCTGATGTCTCTCAGTAGCATTCCAGTTATGATGTGGTACACAAACTCTCCCAAAGCTCTGGGCTCCAGACTATCTCAATCCTCCACATTCCATTGCAGTAGCATTTAATCTACCCAACATAACTGTAAAGAAGTCTGTGAGAACTACAAAGCAACCATGACGTACCAGGACACTTCAAACAATCTATGGAAAGGTGGAATTAAAAGACAAGTTTCTTTTGGTGTGAATGATTTTGAAACCTATGCACTGATTTTTGCAATATGCTTTCCCATGAGCTTTTTGAAGGCGCTATTAGTTCCATTCTCCACACAATATCCCCCTATTTCATGGCTCTTTCCTTCCATAGCTCTCATTATTTTATAGACAGGAGAGATGTTCAGGTAATACTTCTGGAACAGGGAATGCATGAATCAAGTGAATAAAGCGCTACCCTGATTGCAATGCAAGGTCATTTCTCACTATGCAGCCCACATCACAGGGTGACCATGCAGGCAGACGCTGCAATCTCACCTTCTACGATGCTTTGAAAGGGGAACTTCAGAGCCCCCATCACCATCAACCTTCCAGTAGCTACCTCTCTGAATTTTACATTCAGCCTCCTAGCATTGTCATCTTTGTGCAAAGCCCCAGTGGTTGACAACCACTGTGTAACATAAGCTCCAGGCTTACGTCTTCCTTGCAGGCATAGCAAGGGGTGCCATCACCTTCCCAAGCCATTCCCAGCCCCGAGCCTGATCCTCAGGCCACGCCCATGAGAAGAGCGGAGTTAACAGGCATGTGTTTTTGCTTCAGCTGTGAATCAAACTTGGAATCTTGAGAATCTATTTATCTTCTTCTCCCCAATCTCCATCTAGGAAAATATACTTGGGATAGCCCATGAACAAGAAGTAGACTGAAATATCAGACGATTTGTCATCTGGAAAACTCATTGTCTAACACTGATCCTGTGTGTGTCTTGGCGCCAGACTGTGGGAGGAAATAAATACACCAAGCATGTGACACAGGCCTGAACTCCTCAAAACCATTCTTTCTGTGACTTGAGAAGGCATCAGGGGAGGCCTTGCTCCACCACAGCTCACAGACTTTCATGAATTGGTCCTGAAGGTGGGTCCTTTCAGGCCCTCCACTGCGGGCACAGAAGATAAGTGGTAACCCTCCTCTCCAATGTTCATCCTGTCTCTTTCTCTAGGCGGAGTATGTTACAGATATCTGCTGGTCTCATGATGGGGAAGTGATAAAGTGCATGTACTGACTCTTCAGTCTGCTTGTATTGTTTATTTTGTAAACTACACTTGGAATGGCCTGGTAATGATGCTATTTGAAGTTTATGCTTGAACAAAAAGCTGCTAATGTTCACAGACAAAGCTCACAGAAAAACTTTTTTGTGTACTGCTAAAGTCAGTGGCCTAACATCCCTGAGGTTGGGAAATACATATATTTTAAAAAGCGTATGTGGCTCACAAGTCTGCCAGGTTGAAGTTCCTAACATCCTTCAGCCGGTATCCTGGCTGCATCACCTCATGGTTGAGAAGTACACCAGCCACCTGCAGAAAGAACATGCATAAAGGGTAAGAAAGCAAGACACCAGGGAGGCCACACACTCAAGCTTTTGGTAACAGCCTGCTCTTATAGAATACATGCACTCCTACCAGAGCTGGCCCAATTCTGCAAGTCACCTGAAATTCATTCAGAAAGGTAAGCAAAGCACCTTCATAACCTAACGTCCTTCCACGAGGCCTCACCTCCCGGAGGCTCCACCACCTGAACACCACCCATGGAGACTCAGCTTTTTACATCTGAATCTTGGGGAGACAAATCACATCTAGAAAATAGCACTGCTATATCCATTAGTTTGGTGGGATGTTTGGCAGTTTATGCCTTTTTTAATTTACTCCTCTTTGGAGGTTTATAAAACTTCCATTTGAGGCCTGGTGTGATGATCAATTACCTAATTCTCCCCCTTCAGGTGCCAGGATCCCATATGAGTGCCAGTTCATATCTTAGCTGCTCCACTTCCCATCCAGCTCCCTTTTTACTGCCTGGGAAAATAGTAGAACATGGCCCAAGGCCATGGGAGACCTGGAAGAAGCTCCTGGTTCCTGGCTTCAGATTGGCTCAGTTCTAGCTGCTGTGATAATTTGGGGAGTGACTAGCAGATGAAAGATCTTTCTGTATCTCCTCTGTAAATCTGCCTTTCCAATCAATACAAATCTTTTAAAAACAAACTTTCATTTGGCACACAGCCATTACTTCCACTAGATTGAACTCCTACCTTTATTTTACATGATCTCTGGAGCTTTTGATTCTCTGTGGTCAGCTAATGCTGAGTAGCTGGTAAAATAAATATACAAAATTACTGTCCAAAGTGACTTGGGAGGGTGGGCATTATGCAGGTTAAACCACTGCTTGGTAAATCCACATCTTACATGGGTTGCCTGGTTCATATCCTGGCACCTCTACCTCTGATCCAGCTTTCTGTTAATAGTGGGAGGCAGTAAATAATGGCTACCATGCTTGGACCCAAGTGGGAGGCCAAGATGGAATCCTGAATTCCTGGATTCAGCATGGCCCAGCCCCAACTGTTACAAACTTTTGGGAAGTAGACCAGTGAATGGACAATCAATTCTCTCTCTCCCTCTCTCTCCAGCACTGAAACAAGTAATTTTATTTTTTTTTCTTAAAGTATCTTTTGGTTGTAAAACAGTTGCAGGCTTCTTTGAGGATCAGATGAGCTAAGGATATCAATTGCTTAGAACAGCTCTTGATATCTATATGTCCTCTTCTCTTCCCTAACATGTGCTGCCCTTGGTTAAGCTGAAATTCTCCTTTTCTCTCAAAACAGTCACTGGTTGTTTTTCTGAAATTAATACTGCTTAGAATGAGATGTGTCTTTCTTTTTTTTTTTTCTTAGTAAACTAGATTTGATTGTAAGTGTTTAAGACACATGGAAATTTTTAAAAACACTATCAAAACCATAAGGCACTACAAATGTCTGAATTTCTATCACCCAGCATGTGAACAGAAGCAAAATACATTCTTTTTTTATTTTTTTTTTTTTGCAAAGAAGAGATTCTTAATAAACTTCTAATAAACAAATGAGTGAATGGGTCAATCAGATATACCTTCAGGATCCAGGAATAAGATGGAACTTACCTATTACCAAATGTTGCACTGGCCTATCCACCTCAATAAAAAGATACACTCCTTCACTTCCATCTCCCACCTGAAAAATCACAAATGTTAGGGATGCCAGACTTCTCTTTTATAAAAGAAAACTTGAAGACCATCCTATCCCTCACTTCGACCCCAGCACTCCCAATTAGTAGCAACTTCTCTGATGTATCACACAGCCCGGCCCCAGAGCCTTCCTAACTATGTTCTGTCAATTTGGAATGTTCTTATCAGTTGTTCTTTTTTTCCCATACCACCACTAATGCAACAAACTCTGGCTCACATTTCCAGATCTACTCCTTCATTTGCTCCAGGAATCATTTGCTAACCCTCTCTTAGCCATCACAAGGCTGACTTTGGATGCCTTCGCTTTAAGAATGCTCTTAGACTCCTGTACTTGAGCATTCCTCCTCACAATCTGTGCTGTAAGAACTGACTAGACAGGCATGGTGGATGTTTCCGAGTCTTTATCAGTGAACTGTAAACTTCTGGAACCAAGTATGTCAAATTCAACTTTGCATATTGAATGCCTAGCATATTTTTGACACTACTGTAGAACCATAACCTCGCCCCGCTGTTACAGCTTGTCAATCAGTGTGATTGGACTATGGCCCAAGCTACATGTAGTTATAACAAACTCTCCAAATGTTTTCCCAATACAATTTATAGATCAAGTCAAGATAAACAGTGATCAGATTTGGTCTCCTGCTTGACACACTTAAATAACAGACAAATACACCGGTTCTCTGAGAAAGCAAGCGAGCCCTGTGACTGCATGAGAGTATTTTTGCAGATGAAGTTCCTGGGCATTTGAGAGAGGAACCCACACAGAACTTAGTGGCCTCCCTGAGAAGATCAAACAGGGAGGTCATGGAAGATCAAATGAATAAAGACTCGATGAGAGAAAAAAGAAAGGGCAAACACAGCTCCAGAGAGTGGCTCCCCATAAGTGTTCAGACGAGTACTAAATACCACATGCCTGTGAAGCTAATGCCCAAACTTTGGGAAAGAGCCACTGGAAACATTAAAAAAGAAGTAACTCTCCAAAACTTACAAAAGGCCAGGAGCAGTGCCTTTTTCTGCACAAGGTAGAATGCCCAGAAGGATTTTGCCTCAGAGGTGGAAAAAAAAAAAAATCAGCCGTAGACTAAACACTCTTCTGACCCTGCCCCCTCAATTATTAAGAATAGAAATTGAAAGGATTAAATATCAAGTAGTTCAGCTGTGTTCCAGAACAAAGCACAAAGATCTTTACAGGATTACCAAAATATTCCACACCCAACAGGGTCACATTCACAATGTCTGGCATCCAATCAAAAATTACAAAGCTTGCAAAGAAGCAGAGAAACATGACGCACCATGAATAGAAAAAAAAAATGAAGAAAAGCACTTCAGAAAAGATACAGATCATAGAATTACCAGATAAGGGTATCAAAAATTGTATAGTTATATTCTACACCAAGCTTACACACATCAAAGCTATAAATGTGAATCAGACCAAATTTGTAGAGGCAAAATCTACAACAGTTCAATGAAAACTACATTGAACTAGATTAGCAGCACACTAGAAATGGCAGTAAAACAGATAAGTACAATTGAAGACACAGCAATAGATTCACCATAAAACATTGGGAAAAAAAAAACAGAATAGTGAATCATAAAACAACCTCTAAGGTCTATAAAATGTAAGAACAGAATGAATGTTTTCGAAATTGGATGAAAATTATAAACCCACAAAATCAATGCATGTCAAGCACAAAAACATGCAGAAAACTCCACCAAGACATGTAAGAAATTGCATAGTCAGTGACAAAAAAATGTATGTATATATTTTTTATTTTATTGTTAATAACATTGTATTATGTGATACAGTTTTATAGGTACTGGGATTTCCCCCGCCCCTCCCACAACCCTCCCCCCATGGTGGATTCCCCTACCTTGCTGCATAACCACAGTTCAAGTTCAGTTGAGATTCCTATATATTAAAAGCTGCCACAGCAAAAGTTATGTTACATACCAAGAACAATTGGGGCAGCACGTAGGATACCTCGTGGGATATCAGAATCCATGTCAGTGCTTGGGGTGGGGTCCTGGCTCCATTCCTGACTCCAGCTTCCAGCTCATGCATGCCATGGGAGACAGCGGGAATTGGATTTCTAATTTCTGGTGTTGGCCTAGGCCAACTCTGGCTACTGCAAACATCTGGAGGATTAGAAAGAAACTACACTGCAGGAAAAATGAACGTCCAGAGGAATCGAGGGAAACCATCGAGGGTACCAGTACATACAGTATGGTAGATCCATAAGGGAAAGAAAAAGGCAGAGGGAACATTTGAAGAAATAAATATATAAAGATATGAACATAAACACTCAAGGAGCTCAAAGACCTCCAGATAAGATGAATTGAAAAAAGATGGACTCCAAAATATATTCTATCAGACTTTCGAAAGACAAGGAATCTTTTCAATTTTTTGAAGATTTCGTTGAAAGTATGACAGAAAGATAAAGAGAGGCACAGAAAGATCTTCTGTCCACTAGTTCGCTCACCAAATAATTATGATGCTGATAAAGGTCCAGGAGGAAGTCAATAGCCCAAACTTCAGGCAGCAGGGGACCGAGCATTTGTGCCATCCTAGCTACTCTCCTAGCCACCTCAGTAAGGAGCTAGATCCAAAGCTGTGCAGCAGGCATGGCATGATGGCTAAATTCTCAGTTTGCAAGTGCCTGGACTGAATACAAGCACTGGTTTGTTTTTTTGGCTGCTCCACCAACCATCCAGCTCCCTGCATATGGCCTGGGAAAGCAGCAGATGATGGCCCAAGGGCTTGGGACCCTGTACTCATGTGGGAGACCCAGAAGGAGACACTGACTCCTGGCTCTGGGCTCCGGATCAGCTCAGCTCTAGCACCTGTAGCCATTTGGGGAGTGAACCAGTGGATGGAAGATCTTATTCTTCTCTCCTTCTTTCCATAAATCTGACCTGCCTGAAGATAAAATAAATCCTTCTACCAAAAAGTGGCCTTTTGAGCTGCTGCATCACAACACCAGCCCTAAGAGAAAAAAAATCTTAGGAGC